TTTTTGTTGACCTTTGTCCATGGAAGGTCCCTGCAAAATTGGGACTAAACAGGTTCAGGGGTTTTGGAGAAGAAGTCGAAAATGTAAATTGTTTACGGACGCACGACGGACGACGGACGACGACGGACAAAAGGCGATCGCAATAGGTCACTCGATACTTTGTCTCAGGTGACCTAAAAATAATTAAAAAATGAAGGTTCTTCCGTTCGAGCTACGATACTGTTAAATAAAGACAGCGACTTTATGTAACATAATTTTACGATAGTTTTACATTTATTTTGTGTGAAAGGAATAGACAACAAAATCTCAAGTATGTACATTATACATTTGTTCATGGTATCGCAGCCTATTTCCCCAGGGTCAATGTTGTACAATGTTGCAAATATGCACTGGAGAGAATTATGCAGTATATACAATATACAACATTTCTGCATAAAGTTTGCCGTGTATTTTGTATTGAAAAATGAAATATAAAAGACATTGAATATCTTTCGGAACTTTTGATGAATGTTAAAATATACAAGTAGTACGATTCAATGCAAATCGAATGTCACGGTATAATTACACAGGTGTTTTTAACTTTAAGCTGCGTGTCGTGTGTAGGGATTACTGTATATATATTGTAAGCACTGGTCAGCCAACACACTTATTTTCAGAATGCTTGTCCTCAGACGGCAAACGTTTCCGAAGTATTTCCTTTAATTGTACATTAGAGTGAAGTTTGTATTCCCGGACTGCAGTGCGTCTGTGTCCAATGTGCTCAATACTTAATGCATAGCATTTCACGAACCGTTTACAGTTCGACACCTCTGGTTAGACTATATAGACCTGCAGCCAACACGAGACATTTTTATCACGATATTACAAGATTTAATCCCTTTTGAAAACTGTTAAATCTTTAAATTTCTTGACTACCTGAAAACTGTTGGTCTGTTCCGACATCACTCATCATAACCACTTCTATTGAGTAAGTTGTTGGTCTGTTCCGACATCACTCATCATAACCACTTTTATTGATTAGGTTGTTGGTCAGTTCCGACATCACTCATCATAACCACTTTTATTGAGTAAGTTGTTGGTCAGTTCCGACATCACCCATCATAACCACTTTTATTGATTAGGTTGTTGGTCTGTTCCGACATCACTCATCATAGCCACTTTTATTGATCAAGTTGTCGGTCTGCTCCGACATCACTCATCATAGCCACTTTTATTGATCAAGTTGGTGGTCTGTTCTGACATCACTCACCATAACCACTTCTATTGATTAGGTTGTTGGTCAGTTCCGACATCACCAATCATAACCACTTTTATTGAGCAAGTTGTTGGTCTGTTCCGACATCACTCATCATAACCACTTTTATTGATCAAGTTGTTGGTCTGTTCTGACATCACTCATCATAACCACTTCTATTGATTAAGTTGTTGGTCTGTTCCGACATCACTCATCATAACCTCTTTTATTGATTAGGTTTTTGGTCTGTTGCGACAT